CAATCAATCAATCAATCGACTACTGAAGCGGATTAACTCCTGAAGGAACTCAACAACTGAACGGGATCAACCGCCAAATAGATCAAGAACAGAAAACAGAATCTGAAGGAGTTTCAGATATGCAACAAATTTATTTGCATGTTTGATTATCGAAAGATGATACCTTTCAGTAGTTGAAGTTCTCAGTAGTCGAAGCTTTCAGGAGTTGAAACTTTCAGTAGTTCAATCGTTCAGTAGTCCAGTAGTCCAGTAGTCCAGTAGTCCAGTAGTTCAGTAGTTCAGTAGTTCAGTAGTTCAGTAGTTCAGTAGTTCAGTAGTTGAAGTTCTTAGATATGCAACAAAACTTCTTGGGCATTTTTCCAAGACAAACCAGTGCACCTATGCAGATATGCAATAAATCTAAATAAAAAAAACCTTTGTTTTTAGTCAAATAGATACAGTTTTGTTCCTTATCCATTTTGTAAAATACTACAAGGCTCAATTTATTATGTACTCATGGTATGTACCAGAACATCCCCGGATGAACAAGACCACATTTTGATGCAGGTGCAATAGAGATTTGTAGCTCTAGCGATGTTAATGGCTTTGCTAGAGCAGCCAGCTTGGATCATTTATGAAGCGCTGGCAAGATAAAATCTCATACCAAATATCTAGCGATATACTAGGTGCCGCAAGGAACTGGGTAGGCTGTATCATTAGCAATAGATGAACGTAGAAAAAAACACCTCCATGTTTATGAGAAGACAAAAGCGTGTGCGGTACTTAATCATTATTGAAGTTACTTCTAAAGGGGGGAGGGGGGGGCGGGCGCTTTCATTGAAGCCAGGATAGTAATGGGACTCGGGTGGACAGAATTACGTGATGCTGTTCAGTATGGGCAGTATTGCGGTCTTGGGGGATCTTTCCAAAGCTAATGGTCTAAAGTCAATGCCACACTCTCCAATGAAAAAGATTATTTGCACGTTGCAGCAGAGACGGGAGATCTTAGTGTAATCGATAGCCTTTTTCAACGCAAAGCTGCCATCGTTGCCACTGATGAAACAGGTCAGACACCACTGACATTGGCAGTTGTACTGAAAAGTTGCGAGATCGTGAAACTACTACTCGAAAATGGCTCAGAGTATGGCCTGCCGTTGAAAGAAAAGTTAAGGACTTGATGCCCTTACATATAGCAGTTGTTATCGGAGATGTTGAGATTGCAGGACTACTTTTCAACTACAGGCCTGAACTGAAGAGTTTCGAAGGGAAAGTACCACCCAACTCCAGCCTCGCTTGTCGCTTCATAAGGGCGAGGCGAGCATGAATCTACTCCTTCCGTCCCGTCAATCACTCGAGATGAGCGAATCAAACGTCTTCTCACGATTGACCAACTCTGGTTGACGTTGAGGTATAATAAGGACTTTACACTTACGCTTTTGAAGAATCTTCTGTCATCTCAGTAGTCTGAATTAGATTGGCTCTTGAAAGACGAGACGCCAACGAGGTGAAAATGCTCTACATACTGCCATCAACTAACATCAAGATAACTTGGTCAGAGCTTAAGTTCTTCCCGCCTATGTTACTACTAGCAAGTATGATCTCAGTTCGAAGGACTGAGATGTTCTTACTGTTTAATGTTTATACACAATTCCTCATATGGAATATAATGTAACCACGCTTTTTCTCCCCAATATCAGATGAAAAACAAGGATGTTGGGAATTGGGGATGAATGGATAAGTTATAACTACTATCCAAGTGTTTTCAGATGTTGTGGCAACCCGTTTGGAGATAATCGGGTGCAGTATTTGAGGGAGAGGAGATGAGAGGGCTATTTTTGGGGATTAGATTTTAGGAAATTCATTTTGGGATGGATGTAGGTTTTGAATGATTGAGGTGGGCTGGTTTGGATTTGTTTGGGGAAGGGGGGTGGCTAATGAAGGGGGAAGCTGCAGTGAATAGCTGCTATAATGATTTTTGCTGAGACGACATGTACAGCATATATAAATAAAATCAACACGTAGACCGAGGCTCTTGAGAAATGATGCATACCTAGGTAGTATCTCGAATGTAATTACTGAAATAATTACAGACTTAGCGCAATTGAATTCCCTTTCATATTCCCAAGTCTCCGGTTCTCTTCCTCTTTTTACCTGATATAATATTCAACATATATTCTAGCAAGCTTGATTATGTCACATACGACCACAGACTAAGGAGAATTGGGCATCCCGTCCGCTCTGCCATACACAAGCCTTAGATCGGCAGATTAGTAGTTGGGTGGGTGACCACCAGCGAATCCCTGCTGTTGTATGTTTTTTTGAACTTTTTCTTTTGGTATTTTGATCTCTGGTTAGCTAGCGGCCATAGCAAAGGTGACATGTAGATGAGATGTTGATTGGAAGTTTTTTATTATAGCATCACGATGAGTGAGATATTTTATTTTACACTTTTGCGTTCTATCATTTTCAACGGTGGATATCCATGACCGACAGCTAAAATGTCAAAAGTCTACAACAACAAGATACTGTACAAAGATGACATAGAGAGAAGCGAGGGGGTCCCTCAGATGGGTGTTGCCGTGGTCGCTTATCTTGGAGTCAAATCGTCGGATAAAGGAGAACAAAGGGGATATCTTGCATAAGCCATTAGTTGCATTTTAAGCCCTCTTTCTAACCTTTCGCAACCCGATTAGTTCAAATCGTTTGGGAGCAATGAAGTATATATCACTTGCACCAATCATTCTTCGAGGTCATTCATGAAAGGGACCTTTGTTTGTAATGATATTTTCATGATTGAAGCACTCACCGCACTCACCGCACCTGCGAAAGATGTAAAGAATAACCTTGAAGATACGGTATCCGCTGCTCAACACGCCTCCCCCTCTTGATTAACTTGTTATGGGAACAATGTAAATATGTAACAAATGAACCGATTGAAATGAATCAATAAATGAATTAAACTGAACCTTGGCAACGGAACAATATGAAGTTCATGTTTTTTGTTGATTTAAGAAATAAAGTGATGGGATGAAACTACAAGATGTTCGTTCCATGATATATATGACTTGACACCTTTGATGGATTGATGTCTAATGTCTATCTAATTCATTTCACACCGCCTTGATAATATCTGGCAGAAAAGTTGACCAAAATATCATTCTACCCATATTCAAGACAATAATTGAAAAGAAATCCCCCACCTTAACAAACAAACCTTACTCATTTTGATTCCAGATCCCTTCGAGACAGACTATTATTATACTGTCTATAGGTATCTGTGATAATTATAACGATATGGGCAATACTTTCCTTACTTTATAAACAACATATACATATTTTACAACCTCACGCAATTGAGATCTCAGAGCTCAGAACTAAATACAAAAAAGAAGGAATCGGCGCATTTTATTTCAACAAATCTGTCGCAATGGCTACCGGTACACTAGCTTCGAATCCCTTTGTTGGGGAGCACGCGGATGCTGACTCTGATGCGCCAGCCGATGAAAATCTCCCAACCTTTTATATTGGACACCATGAGTCTAAACGACCTCTGCCTGTCACGGAATTTGTTCTGCGACAGGCTCAAGATGTTGGAGTATGTGTTCCTTCGCGCTATTGAGAATTCTGCTAACAATTCTCTGTCCTAGTATGACATGCTCACAAGCTCTATCACAAGTCCTCATTTCCACTCTAGAGTTCTCACATTGATCTCGAATCACCTCGCCGAGATATCAGCCCTCGAATCAAGCGATGCGCCAAACAAAGCTACCCCTCCAGCTCCCATCATCCCACCACTCAATCCTGTCGATACACCATTAACTCCTTCCGACACAGTCTCACAGCTCATCGCACATTCCAGCCCTTGGATAGATCTATGCTCGCCAGATCCGCTGATCGCAAACATTTCCCGTCAGGTTTTGAATATCGAAATTGCATATGCGTCCTTCTGCGGAGTGGGCAATGTTATTATACCAGGTCCACGAACATACCATGGCGGATCAGGAGATAACACTGGACTTGCGCAATATGCTCGTGCTATTCAGGAGACTCTCGCAATTGCTAATTATATCAATATAGCCATCCATATCCCTATGTATGGGCTCGAAGATCAGAAGGAGATGACAGGCGATCTTTTGCCATTTTCCAGGTATCAAGAGACAGCAGATGCAGTAAAGAGCGAAAATGAAATTGACTTGTATGAGAATTGGGATACTTGGAATTTGATCCGGGATGTATGTAAATACAATTCCAGACTTTCAGTAGGTAAGAAATCAATGAATATACATTCTACTTCTCTTGAGCCTTCTCATTTGTTCACCTTATCTTGTGTGTGTGATGTTTGAAAGACCCCGGTGCGGAAGTGGAAATTCTTTGGAGCATCATTCAGTTATCTCTCGAGGCACTGATTCTGCCCACGGACTGAGTGTCTCTAAAAAAGGACACATGCTAACCAATATTTACAGCATTGGCACTTCCCCGTCAACTACCCATTGATTCACTTCAATCTCGTTGGTTTGCCGAACCCCTGAGGATGTTGACTTTCAATTCTTCAACATTCTTGAAAAACAAGGGTGGACATCCAGTTTTGGGCAAGGCTCACCAAAATCTGATCTCCCGCTATATGAAGCTTAAGAACGCTCCATGGTTATTATTATGTGATGTGGGTCCCATCCCTGGTTTAGATGACCCAAATCAGCAAATCTCGGTGGCAGATGGTTATGCATCACCAAGTACTGTTCAAGATGCACCATCTCCAACCCCTGCCGAAGCCCAGCAAGTTAGGAGGAACAGCACCAAATCACCATCACAATCAAAATCGAAGGATGGTGCAGCTCACTTGGTATACCTGAGATATCTCCAGAGAAACCAACCAGAACGGACTGCTATCGAGAAGTTTGGCTCAGGCTACCAAGATTACTTGCAAGCTCCACTCCAACCGTTGACAGACAATCTCGAATCTGTTACGTATGAGGTCTTTGAAAAAGATCCTGTCAAATATGATTCTTACGAGCGAGCCATAGAACGAGCACTTTCAGATTGGGGTTCACAAGGAAAGCCTACATCGAGTCTCAGTGGTGCTGTTGTTATCGCAGTAGCTGGTTCTGGTCGAGGACCTTTAGTGTCTCGAGCTTTGAAGGCAAGTCAAACGACTGGAGTCCCAGTTGAGGTATGGGCAGTGGAAAAGAATCCAAATGCCTACGTTCTTCTTCAAAGACACAACGAAGACGACTGGAATGGAGCAGTCAATATTGTAAAGAGCGACATGCGTGCATGGAAAGGGCCATTGAGAAATGCAGCAGGACCCATAGGTCAAGCCGTAACAACCTCTACTACCACTCCCGCAACAACCTATGGCAAGGTCGATATTCTTGTTTCTGAACTCCTTGGTTCTTTTGCAGACAACGAATTATCACCCGAATGCATAGATGGAGTCCAGCATGTTCTAGCACCCGAATTTGGTATCTCGATACCTGCTTCCTACACAGCACATCTTTCCCCCATCCTCGCACCTCGTCTCCATGCCGATATCTCCAACAGATTCTCATCTGATGAGAGCGCCACAGATACCCCCTACGTAGTCATGTTCCATGCCATTGATTTCCTCGCAACCTCCGTCCCAGACCATCCCCAAATCCAACAAGCATGGGAATTCGCCCATCCACTTCCTACCAGTACATTACATATCGCCGAAGCCAGACGAGGCGGCGGTGTTAGTGGTGGTGGCGGTGGAAGCATGTCGGGTGGCGATGGTGCCAATGAACACAACACTCGCTATGCCCGTCTCAAGTTCGTCTGTAAAGACCGCGGCGTGGTCAATGGGTTGGCGGGATATTTTGAAGCTGTTCTATATGATGGCGGCGCGGGTCCCGAGAGTAAAGTCGAATTGAGTACGCGTCCGGATACGATCGATGCGAAAAGTAAAGATATGATTTCATGGTTTCCGATTTTCTTTCCTTTAAAGGTATGTTCCCCCTCTCAGATTTTACAGAGGGCTATAATTAACATGTAAACAGTCACCCCTCTACATTCCCGATGATACCGAGCTCGAAGTCGGTATTTGGAGACAAACTGATGATAGAAAAGTTTGGTATGAGTGGCTTGTGGAAGCTTTTGTTATGGTTGGGCCTAATAAGCGCATGAGATTGGGTATGAGTGAGGCAGGCAGCAGTCGCCAGATTGGCTGTCTTATGTAGATGGATTTGATATCGAGAGATATATGTATATTCATCAATCAATTACTGAAGCAAGAGAAAAAAGCCCAACCTGAGATTTCAATAGAAGTGTGTACACCGTGATTTGTTTTGTATCTTGTAATCACAAGCTTGATTTGCTTGAACAACGCCGTCCGTGAATATATCAATGTAGGTAGGGGTAATTTACTCCTCTCCTGCTGATTGGAATTGAGATATTCCCACTTTCTCTCTCTCCTCTCTCATCTACTTCTGTTATATCTGCGATGCCATGCCATGTGGTCTGTCCCTCCCATCCATACCAGGTATCTATCAAGATTTCCCTGCGGACCTCTCAAGCTTTACACATACCCCATAAATCCTCGGAGCCCTTTCCTTTCCACATCCATACATTCATCCATCCATCAATTTCAACCCTCCATCTTCGTATCATCTTCTTCGTTTTTGATCTGGGCGGCTGATATGTAGAGGACGTTGTTGCATCTATTTATCTGCATCAGTTTCTGTCCATCTCCAATTCCAATTCCAATTCCATGTCCCTTTTCAATTCCATTCCCCATTCCCAATTCCCAGTCCATTCAATGCGCAATCCACAATCCACAGTCCCAATGAAGCTCCCCAAGTTCTCCAAGCTCCTCACTGCTTCAATAATAAAAACAAAAGAAGAAGAAAAACACACCTAATCAAAACCTGACCTAAAGTACTCGTCATCTCCTCATTGATCCATTCCTCGGCGCCCGATAATTGGATGTTCATGTAGCTGTCGATGCTAACGAGTTTTCCTTTGTATTCGGTTTGACCGCCCCATTTTAGGCGGATGACTACTTCTTCGTTGACGCTGGGAGGGAAGGGATGGAGGTTAGTTAATTGGGGTTTGAAATTTGAGGGGATGGGGAAAGGGAGGGGGGAAGTGAAGTGGTGGACGGTGAGGGTGAAGGTGAGGGAGGACTGCGACGGGTACCTACAGGTTTTGGAGGAAGGGACGGGGGTTGATGGGTACAAACTGGAGAGGAGTTAATATTTATATGTGAGAGGGGGAGAGGCAGGGGGTATCTTACACTCATAATGTGATGTGAGCTGGGGGTTGAGAGAGAGAAAGGCGGGTGTTGGAGAGGACGCGAATTTGGAATTGGGCGCGTCGAAGGTGAGGTTGCTTGGTTGCTGCTTGGGCTGGCGCCGCCTTTTGGGAAATTTTCTAAGCGAGGCAGCGCAAGGCTGAGAGGGTGAGGCTGTGGTGATCTTCGACCACTGCAGGTTAATCTCGGAATTTCTCTTTTCAATAATATAGTAGGTGTAAAAATGCCCGAGACGCTCGTCGACCATCGAAGAATTACTCTGTATTTATTCAGGTTAAATTTGATATTAAATGTCCATTTACATTCTTCTTGTAGGTATCAAATATTCTCGTCGCTTTAATACACACTATTGAGTATATTTCAAGCTGCAGTAGACCAGGTGACTTCAGCACAACCATTCATAACATTCATTGCTATTGGGTGCTCACTCTTGGTCTCATCTCAGTTTCTCCTGATCTCCCATTTCAAGTCCTTGATGCTGACTTCCTCTCCTATTTTGTCATCATAATCATACCATTCTCCATCATTCAAATCGATGTCAGCAAACTTGGTGCCACTGTCTGTTCCAACAGCTAACCAATCTCCCTACAAGGAACGAATACATGAGCTACAGAAGTAATAACTGATGTTTAAAAAGAATGCTCACCTCCGGTTTAAACTCTACAAGTTCAAGACCTCGACAGTCAAATTCTAGCATCTTCTGACGAGTTGGTGGAGAAGCTGCTTCATATGGAATGGGTGCTGATATAACTGATGCAGATGATTCTCTCTTGATACGAAATCAGTACTTCCATTTAGTAACATATTGGCGAGGAGTGCAGTCACAAACCTTGCAAAACTTGCATTTCCAGACAAAGTTTGCTTCTCCTCTGCTGCCGCTCATATCATTTGCTTCCTGGAATTCATGTTAGTCTCGGAAGGTATACAAGAAGCCCGCAAATTCATGTCTCGAACTCACAAATCGGTTGATGTTTATGAAATTGGGGTGAGTCTCTCTGCATGATAGACATTGTACTTTGAATGTGTACCAGAAGTTCTTCACTGCGCTGTCATCGGGGACAAGCTCATTCACGCTATATACAGTACAGGGTGTTGGTTAGCTCTTACTTTATATCTAGGGGGATTCATTTGATACTGACCCAGAGAGATCTGCAGTAAGTGTTAAAATAAGCATCGTTGTGAGTTTATTTATGATTTATTGTTGTGATGATGTAAATGTGTAAATATTTAATATGTAAATATGAAAATCATGGAGGGGCATGAAGAGGAGGGGTCGGTTCGTGCTTGTAACTTCTATCTACTTGTACATCCTGATCGCTTAAAGCGGCCACTCAATTGTGAAAGTCTTCCGATAAAGTTTTTGGGTGAGAGATACCAAATTATTTTACATAGCACTAAAGTCGAATTTCCTAGCGATCAATGGAATTAAGGACGAGCCCAGCAAGCTGATCATTCACAAATCAACAAAATGCAATTATAATGCAAAGTTTATGGCTCCGCACTGCGCAGACCAGATCATCATGTCATTGTAACGCCTGTGTGAAAATCGGTACCGGCATAGCTCGTCAAGCAACAACCGCAATTGGCAAAAGTCGACGGGTCAGCATTGGGGATATTTTCACGGCATGTTACTCAACAATATTCGCAACTGCTGCAGTGGTAGATTCGAATCGCAAAGTTCAGCGAAGGGAGCAATGGGATCGACTCATTGCGGAAGTGAAGGCTGGACCTCCCGCCGACAAAGTGGAGGGATCGCAAGATTGCCAGGAAGAAGGAAATGCAAATGAAGCCAAGAACCAAATACCAGGAACACCAGGAACATTAAGGATACCAGGGGTTTCAAGCAACAATTTCCCTTTCGCAAGAGCTGGAAGCAATGCCACAAAGGGGCCTATGACTTGGAATGGAGCCAACTGGACGGCCGCCTCTTCCATGAGTCGATTGGGAACGCATCTTAATACCATACCCTCACATGTTGCAAAGCCTGTTGAGTCTCCTGCGCCCGAATATCCGCAGAATCCCGTGCCTTCACCTACCGTACTCCCAGTTCAGTCTACCACACAAAGAGAGACTGCGAACTCTATTGTTGATGGAGAACAGTTGGGCGAACATGTACCCACAAATGCTATGCTCCAACCTCGCGACCCAAAGACTCGAGAGCATTTAGCTGGGCTCGAACGTTCGGTTACAGAATTAGTCCATCAACTGATGTGGACTACAAATACCTCACCTATAACAGCGGATTTTCATTCAGCACCGTCTGACATTTTTCTCGAGACCGAGAAAATGATAGGGCGAGTTGAACAATTGCAACAGGGTGACATTACCATGCCAGCATACCAAATGAATGATGAAGTTCGTAAAGAAAGGTCCCAGCTACATGATGCACTAAGAGCCCTCCTGAAGAACACGTCCCCGAGTCAGAATAACCTAAACCTAATCTTGACCAAGATATGTTACAATCTTCTAATAAGCGCAGCATCACCGAACATCTTTACCTATAACTTTTTGATCGAAAGAATGACAGAGTTGATGCTTCATGACCATGCGCAAGTATTCGTTGATTCGTTTCTCCACGATACGCTTTTCAGGCCTACTTCAAAGACCATTCAAGTTATACTGAATCATTACGCGGCTAAGAATGACCTAGAAGGCTACCGAGGTATTATTAGGCGCATGAGGGCATTGGACGGGAGTATGAAAGTTGGACGCAGACATAAGAATCAATTGGATAATCCAGGAGTACTAGCTTGGGCAGAGAGACATTCCAATAACAATAGATTGGTCATGCATGGAGGTTGGCTCGTACGAAAGGTACCACGAGACGCATCCATATTTGATGCTCTAATCAGGACGAGTCTTCAAATCACAACTGCTCGACAATCTGTCATGTACATTCGCGCAGCTTTGCGTGAGGGCCATAAAATTCGACCAGAATTATTTGTTGAGGCTGTCCAAAGTTGTGTAGCCAAACTTGATCATGCTGCTGGAGAATCGCTTCTGCAGTCAATATTAGAGTTTTGGGCCGAGAATATCCAAAAGCCCGATCTCATTGCGCTTACCAAAAGTACACGCTGGGCCATGAGAGAACTTCTGCATCTTTGCGGAATTGACCCATCACGAGATCTACCACGACTTTTATCAGTAGATGTTCCTCGATGGAATTCAGGAAGGCTTCTGTTATACCTGAGACTTGGCTCGATGCGCGATTGTGTCGATCGCTTTGTTGAACGTATACGTTCCTTACAAGACGCTCTTCGAATATCTTCCAAACGGTCCAAATCTACTACCAAAGGAGTTTGGAAAGACGAATTTGGAGATACACGGGTCTGGGATTATCTCCCCCCGAACAAACTCAAACGCCAGCATGGAACATTAGTTCGGTCAGGCGTTGACCGTTCGCTCGAGATTTTCGACAAGTTTTCGTACACGGAGAAAGAACGAGACATAAAAGCAAAGCAAGGAGCTCGCCAAGCTAGGAGAGTGATGCTGCAAAGCTTGGAATCCAAAGTCGCCTTATCCAAGGCGCATATCCGTACGACCGAGATAGGAATAACTTCCTGGTACTGTGATCAATTACCTAGAGACTGGATATATACATATCATCTCAGATTACAACAAAATCCACACATGTCAGTACGAGAAAGAATTATCGTTCTCAGGGGATTAAAAAGGTTGCAAGAACTGGATGTATTCGACTACCAGCTTGATCAGAGCTTACGACGTATCAAGCTTTTGAAGAAGGAGTTCAGAAACATAAGGCAGAGGAGAGAGCGACAGATATCTGATATTACAGCCCAGTTCAACGCGTGTGCAAAGCAAATCAAACTTCTCGGATGGCAATTCTATCTCTTGAAACAGACAATCATATCTGACTTACCATCCCTTCGCTCAAGTGGTTTACAAGAACTCGAAGAGGAAATTAACAAGGGTTTACAACAAATCAAAATATTAGATCAGGAACTCAACCTCAACTTTCCACACGCGAATCCAATGAGGACATTGCGAGAATTGAACTTGGTCCTATTCGAGGTCCATAACAGTAAAGAACAAGTCAAACTCTTGGCTGAAGAGATTTACTTGTCATATCCTCCTCTTGTGACCAGGAAGATTTACGTCCAGGATTCTTATAAGATAGTCAGAGGTTTCCGCGCAGGACTTTCTTTTATGTATGAGCCACCAAAAGATAAACTTTCGTCGACTGAAGAACAAGGATATGAGGTGATTAGAGAGTTGTCGTTAAACCGTACTATTCGGTTCAAGAAAAGAGAAGAGCATTCATCGGACGAGACGATAGTATCCCCCCAACCATCTGAAACGTCGGCTATAGATGAAAAAATTTCTGGTGCATCATGACGGAAGGATAGTGTTGGGCTTAAGATTTTTCACTTTTGTATTTGTGAGATACCAGCATAGAGTGGCGTTTGTTGTAGATATGAAATGGGTATTGGTATATACACATGCATGGAAGGGCGTTTTGGAGTTCATAGACGAGGATGGTTAAAAAGGGGGGTGGCATGCAGGTGCATCTCATCGGACCAGGGAGCAATGACTTTTACATACATGTATACCAGATAGACAAATACAAGATCTGTACAAATGATATCAATACCACTTTTAACGAATCAAAGGTCTTGCGAGATATCTCTATTGGTGTCTACATTGTGTCTCCATACAAGCGTCTTCCTTTCATGTTGCATAGCGCTTTATTTAATCTTGATTGCTCAATACCATATACTTCTCGTTCTATGATGGGGTATCTCGTCTTTTCCCTCCAGTTCCCTTTCCTTCATCGTGTCATACAAGAAAAAATCAATCAAGATGGCATTTACCTTTGCCTCGGGATGATTCTTCACAATCTCTCTTCGAATCAACTCTACACACCATATACTACAGCCTATTGACCCATTGAATCGAGTTAGTAGTTTTCCATATTTCCCCAACATCTCAAGCATGTGCAGGAAAATGAGAATTAGGTAAAACAAGAAATCTTACCTCTCAACTGGACCTCCCAACTATGTCCACTCTCAATCACCTCGCCTCTCCTGATTTTACTCTCCAAAGCCGGCGCATACCATAGACATCCCAACGTATTTAACAGTTGTGGAATGCGATAGTCGGCAAACATGGTGAGTTTATCCACATCATGAAATTCGCCCCAACTCTCTCCTTCAAACGCGGCCCATAGATCCGCTACGCAGATTTGTGCCCGTTTGAGCAATCGTACTTCCTTGCGGTTTTCAAACGAGAATACATCGTTAAAACATGGAAATGAGCTTGCGAGCAAGTTTACGAGCGCTGCGGCAGACTGCTTGGATTCTCTGATGCAATTGGTAAATGAGCAGGCATATTTCTCATAGAGAATCGTCCCGGCTTCTCGAAGTAGTGTGAGACGTGTTGAGAGGAGCGGCATGGGTTCTGCGGTGCACGACCGAAATATGTGCGCGAATACATCTTCCGTGAGTGCGTTTTCATCTTGCCAATAATCCGAACTGGTGATTGGATATCCTTCCTCTAATCCCCTCTGCAGCGCAGCAACCAGACTCCAATATCCCGTCCATTTTTTACCCCGAAACTCGACTGCAAATCGCTCGTCTTCGTTCTGCAGGCTCCAGAAGGAGAAATTGAGTAGGTCCATGGTGAAGATGAAGTTCACGGTGCTCTCGTCTTTGGATTGTGGGTGTAGGTCATGTGATGACCATGTTTTGGTGGAATAGCTTTTCGTTTGCATTTGCGAGTAGATGGATGCGGCGGCGGCTTTGGTCGAGGACATGTCGAGGGCTACGTCGATGGCATTGTTGTAGACGTATTCGGCGCTTTCGAGCACGCGGGTTTCGGGGATGGAGGGGGAGGTGGGTTTGCGGAAGTGTTGGCGTAGAAGTTCGAGGAGCTCTGGGTCGGCTTCGTCGTCGGACATGGTTGGGATGGATGGAGGTATGGGGATTGGGGGTTTTGGGGGTTTGGGGGTTTGGGGTTTGGAGATCTGATGAGGTGGTGGTCTTGATGTTGTGCTTTGTAGCTTTGTACGATGTTAGAGGGGCATTGGATGTATGAGTAGCGGGGTATAATTGGTGCTATTACTCGATAATTGAAGTGTGGGTACAATAAGTGAAGGCAGGAACGATTGATATTGGAATTTTTTGATTTCTTTTTACATTGAAGTTATATTACCTAGCTATAATGCAATATCTTATTGAGTTATAAGTTCAGCTTATGATTAGCGGGTAAATACTCAGACCTAATTTTGACAGAAACACCTCCAAGTATCAAAAAAAAACATCTCTCCCATCAAATATAAAAAAAGAAAATGAAGCATGAGACAATGAAACTTCGCACTGACTAAGCACTGACCCACCACATACGATACCGGAGCGATAAGAGCTCGCTTATCTAATCAAGCGCGTTTTCCACCTTTATCGACGCGACTACGGATTTATTCATTTGTTCCCAATACCTTGGAAATATAAGCAGAGCCTCAGGAACAATTATCAAGGCAAAGACAAGCCTTGAACTCTATCTCAAGTAAACCCAACCTTCATTTTGGTCTTCAATCCATATCTTGCGCTGTCGCGAACCCCCTACGCATGAGAGTCAATATGATGCGCGATCAATTTAACACGCAGTCACTGGGGAAACCTTTGAATATGATGGTCAAGGAGGTAAGCGCACAAGTTCACAGCGTTATGTTTGCGAAGAGCGCCAAGTACTTCAACTTTTGTTTGGGTTACTCTTCATGGTTATATCTATCGGATACGGGTATACTACTATCTCATTTCCAATTTGCAGGAATATATATGCCCTGTTGTCGGAGTTGTGTTTGTTACAAGCGCCGGGTTATGTGAATTTCTTCCTTCTGCGCAAATCGATTGAACATGAGTTTGGCTACTAAACTTTTGAATTAGGCACGGATATTGATGGTTGGAGCTGGAGGAATCGGATGTGAATTGCTTAAGAATTTGGTTCTGGCTGGTTTTGGTGAAATTCACATCGTTGATTTGGATACCATCGATCTCAGCAACTTAAATCGACAATTCCTATTCCGCCATGAACATATCAAGAAACCGAAGGCTTTGGTAGGTTATATATGCGTGGCAGAAACAGATGTGGGCTGATATGGAGGTATATAGGTTGCGAAATATGCGGCGCATAAGTTCAACCCGAAAGTCAAGCTGGAGGCACATCATGCGAACATCAAGGATGCACAATTCAATGTGGATTGGTTCAAGGGATTTACAACGGTGTTTAATGCGTTGGATAATCTCGAAGCAAGGAGACATGTGAACAAGATGTGTTTGGCGGCGGATATACCTTTAGTCGAGTCGGGCACAACTGGTTTCAATGGACAGGTTCAGGTTATCAAGAAGGGAAAGACGGCATGTTACGATTGCACGACAAAGGAGACGCCAAAGAGTTTTCCGGTTTGCACTATTCGAAGTACGCCGAGTCAGCCGATTCATTGCATAGTTTGGGGGAAGAGCTATTTATTGAGGTACGTCTGGTTGGGTGAACCGAAAGAAATGTTGCTAAGTTCAATAAAGTGAGGTATTTGGTACCAGTGAGGATGAATCGACAGAGATGGATCATTCAGAAGACTCAGAAAATGGTTTGTTATCCCATACTATATCAAAGTGCCCCGCTGACATTAGGCAGCCAAGGAGATTGAAAAACTGCGGCTAGAGTCACAAGCTTTGAAGATGATTAAGGAATCAGTGGGCACTGATGCTTTTCCTCAACTGCTCTTCGATAAGGTCTACAAGGATGATATCGTTCGTTTGAGATCCATGGAGGATATGTGGAAATCGAGACGACCACCTGAGGCTTTAGATTACGCCACTCTCAATTCAGAAGCAGGGAGTGACGAGGCCAGAAAGCAAGCCGTACTTAAAGATGATCAACGAGTTTGGAATTTACATGAGAATCTCATCGTTTTCAAAGACAGGTAAGTCACTCCATTATCCCTTCCCACGGTAGCAATATTAACACCCGTAGTTTGGAACGATTAAGTAAAAGACTACAAGAATTGAAAGCTACCTCAAATGGTGCCGGCTCCGCAGAACCAATAATCACCTTTGACAAAGACGATGAAGATACACTGGACTTCGTCACCGCAAGCGCTAACTTGAGATCAATCGTCTTTGGCATCGAGTGCAAATCTCGATTTGATATCAAGCAAATGGCCGGTAATATCATCCCTGCTATTGCAACCACCAATGCTATTGTAGCAGGTCTTTGCGTTCTACAATCATTCAAAGTCCTTCGTGATGATTACTCGGGTAGCAAAGAGGTATGTCCCACTCTAACGACTTTGATCAACAAGACCATGTACTCACCAACCTAGATCTTCCTCTCCCCATTCGCCCCTGAAAGACTTCTCTCCTCTGATAAATTCCGAGAGCCAAATCCAGATTGTCCTGTATGCAGTGTTGCACAAACTCGTTTGTTGGTCGATATGTCAAGAGCCACACTTAGTGATCTGGTCGAGGGTTTCCTTAAACTGCAACTTGGGTATGGTGAGGAACTCGTGGTCAATAATGAAAGCGGCCTACTCTATGATGTTGAGGAGACGGAGAATTTGGATAAGAAACTCAGTGAACTTGGTACGTTTGTTTTGTTCTACCTTATGAATGTATTTTACATGGTTGCCTGACTAATATAATGTATAGGTATCAAGGGCGATACTTTTCTAACTGTCATCGATGAGGATGATGAAAATCCAAAAGGTCCTAGGGTAAACCTCGTACTCAATGTACAAGAATCGCAAGTCCCCTAGTCACTTCAATATTCTTCTCCATCTCCTGACAATCACAACAGCGACACCACAATGGAAGACACACCCATCAAAAGCCTCGACATCCACCCCAGATCCTCCACCCACACCCCTCTCCTTACTGGCACACTACCTGCCCCTGTTGACCCCGAATCACCCATCCCTCGTCGCAAGAAGCCCGTCCCCGAACCCACAGCTCCAGTCTCAACAAACGGCAATGCTACACATACAAATGGCCACGCCAAACCCCCCTCCGCAGATGTCTTTCAAAATGGTAGTGCCAATGGGTTTAAAAAGAGATCTGCATCCGATGCCCTCGGTGATAACGCTTCGTCAACCTCAAAGCGCTCCAAGACTCTCTCGGGTTCTGGTGATGCTAATGCTGCGGAGGATGGTATTATTGTACTGGATGATGCGAATGATGGTGCTATCATGATTGATGACGATTAAATGCTTGCTTGCTTGCTTGCTTGCATTCAGATCCCATCAATCTATACATCCTCTACCTATCTCATCCCAGCTCAACTCAACCATTTCCATTCCCCCAATCCCCCCAAAACTCTCTTCGAAATACCTCATCCAAATCCACTCCAAAAGAAACCTTGTATTTGGTCCAAGAGAATCACACAGCGCTCAACCCACCATCAAGATTGAGCACACAATTGTTTGCGTATTTATTCATGGCTAAAAAGACGGCGGCATCGGCTATTTCACTAGCATCTCCAAAGCGAGAGAGGGGAATGGCGTTTAGTGCTTCTTTACGTGCGGGCTCGGACATGGCTATGGCACCGAGTTAGTCTGGCTTTTTTTTTCTTTTTTTTTTTGGTGAGATGTAAGATGAGATCTTGTGTATATTAAGTTTTGAGATGGAAGGAGGTGCGCGGTTTTATTTGGAAATGGGAGGGGGTGAAAATAGGGTTGGGTCATTGAGGGATGGATGATCAAGGGGGAATGATAAAATGGGTTGATGTGAAAATGGATATGGAAATGCAGATGCAGATGCAGGTGAATATGAAGGGAAATGGAGTTGAATAAATAGAATAACATGATATAACATAAATAATGGAATAAAATTTGAAAATAGAAACATACCCCTCGTCATATCAGTCTCGATATATCCAGGTACAATAGCGTTTACCCTTATTCCTGACGAACCCATTTCGGCGGCGAGAGCACGGGTGAGACCTATTTTGGTGGGGGGGGGAGAAGGTTAGAAGTGGTTAGAAGGGGGTAAAGGGGGGTAAAGGGGGGTAGAGAGGGGAGTGGATGAGTGGGTGAGTAGGGAGTGGGGAGTGAAATTGGGTTTTGGGAAAGGGAAGGGGAAGGGGAAGGGGGGAGGAGAGGGAAAAGAGAAGAGGAAGGGAAAGGAAGGAGAGGAAGGAGGAAGGGAAAGGGAAGGGAAGAGAGGAAAAAGGGGTAAGTGAAGGTGATGGCGAAGGTGAGGACATAGTAAAATTGATAATAAATAGATAGGAAGTAGATAGCGAGTAATATAGTGTATAACAAATAAACAGTAAAAAACGATAGAGCAAAGGAACAGAAAAAGTAGAAGGTAAAATTATACATACCAAGAACCCCAGCTTTACTAGCCGCATAAGCAGCGCTTCCCCTTCCGCCTTTAATACCTAGTAGTGAGGATACATTCATTATACAGCCTATTTTTTGTGCGATTTGGGTTAGCTTGTTTGTGTTTTAATTTGTTTTGTTTTGTGTGCAGTATTCGCATCTTATATTCCGGGGGGCAGGGGGGAGGGGGGACTGTTTGTCTGTTGTGTGTAAAGTGTTGTCGAAATTAAAAGAAGATAAAGCTCTTCGGAGAAAGAGAAAGGGATAGATAGAGATGAATAAATCAATAAAGTCAATACATACCCTGCCGCAGTCTCAACATTTCCTTTCCAATAATCTTACACCCCCATATCGTACCCATCAAATTTGTTTGGAGGATATTTTCGATCAAGGAAGGGGAGGTCATGATGAGTGGCGAAGCGTGGGTTAGACCCGCGGCGTTGATGAGGATATCGATGGGGGGTTTGGGGTGCTGTGGAAAGGAGAGAAGGGGTTGAGGTTAGTGGTTTGGTGTTGTGTTGTGTTGTGTTGTGTTGTGTGGGAGAGGGAGGAGGGTGAGAGGGAAGAGGGTGGTTGTATGTAGGAGGGGAATGTCGGAGAAGGATGTGGGAGGGGATACGGGGTAGAGAAAATATAATGAGGAAAAGAGAAGAGGGGAAAGAAAAGGATGTTGTGATAGATGAATGAACGAAAACCAACTCCAAATGCAACTGCAACTTCAGATTAGATTATATGGGAACTATCCCATCATATCTCCTTTGTCAGTTTTCTCTCCTCTCCGTTTCCTCCCCCCCTCAACTTCCCCTCCCAACCCCATTCCCCAAATCAAGGCCAAACCCCGAAACAACCTCCCAAAAACAGAAGCAAAAATAAACTCACCTCCTGACCCTCCTTCCCCCCCTTCCCACCTCTCTTCCCCCTCCCAA